ACAATACTACTACAATACTACTACAATACTACTACAATACTACTACAATACTACTACAATACTACTACAATACTACTACAATAGCCGTAGCTCATATGTTATGAGCGGAGGCCTATCGTCGTAGTCCCGACGTTAGACGGACGACGTTTAGTCGTTCCGTCGTCGGGACGGAGACCTTAGGCTGCGGGGGGCGTCCGCGTGTCTGTCTGTTCGGAATTTCTGGAGAGTCGCGCTAGCTCCGACGTCGAGTGGGAGCCGTAGTCGCTGGTTCGATCCCCGCGCCGGCGCGTCGTGTTATCCTTTTTTACGTTGCGGCTCGCTGGCTTCGTCGCCTATTCTTCTATTTTTCGTTCGGGAGCGCTGCCTTCGTCGTCGCGTGGTTCGTTTTTCGCGTCGTCGTCGTTTATTGTTCATTTCTTTTCGTTCTGGACCGTGCACCGCACACCGCGTCGTCCCGGACTGCACTGCTCCACGCCTGGGCCCGTGCAATGCGCCCCCGAGCATCGCCGTGCACCGCTTCGGTGTCCGCGCCGCACCGCACTGCACCGCGTTGCACCGCACCGCGCCACACTGCGTGTGGCAGTGCATCGCACCGCACCACACGTGGACCCGCGCAATGCGCCCCGGAGCATCGGCGCTCACTGCTTGTGGTGTGCGCTAGCTCCGACACTGAATGGGAACCGCGGTCACCGGCTCGATCCCGGTGCATGAGGTTTTATTTGTTTTTTTGTTCGGGACCGCTTACCGCACCGCACCGCACTGCACCTCACCGCACCGCACCACGATTTAACGCGCAAATCGCAAAACATTGGCTGCATCGCACTGCGCAATTCGACATGCGCCGACTCGTGCATTTTAACGCGCAACCCACCACACAACTCGACGTGCAATTAAACATGCAATTCAACGCGCAATTTAACGTACACCGAACCACGCAATTTGACGCGCACTGAACTGTGCAGTGCTTGTCCAACGTTGTCTGTGTAGGCTGTACGGCATTTTGTGAAGCTGTTTTGTTCATGGATGTTGGCTCGCTACAATATAATTGCACCGCATATATATGCATCCGGTTTACTTATTTTCAGATACGGTTGCTTTAAAGCTGGCGGTTGTAGGCTAGTTGTGCTGCCGACATAAGCTGCGCGGTATTTCGCGAAGCTGGCCTCTTTACATGCATCGGCTCGCTAACCGATTTTCGCCAGACGACAATATCTCGGAACATCAACGGTTGTTCGTCGCCATTGATGGCTATTCATCGCCATCCTCGTCTGCACGTCCTACACGATACAAGGTCAGCCCACGTTGCAAAGCAGTAGCAATGAATAGAAACGACGAATAGCAGTGAGTAGAAACGATAGCAAGAATAGCAAGGAATAGAATCACAATGCGCACCGAAGTGTGATGCGCAACACAACCTGACCCGCGGGACGGTTTGCACGGTCGGTCGTGTTCGCTGGGTCGTGTACCGCGTTTTTTTTATTTCCATTGAGACCGCGCACCCCACTAGCCATGTCTCGGCTCGTCATGCTTCGTCGTGCTGTATCATCGTGCTATCTCTGTCACCGTGTGGG